AGGAACATGGGATTTACGCTACGGCTTCATGAGGAAAGGAGGGGGGATGGCCAGAGTGGGCACAGAGCAGGGGGCAGGTACTGAAGCTGTAAGCAGCCTTAGCACTGCAGAAGTGGGGGGGGCAGCAGAGAAGTAAGGGGCAACATAGTCACCTCCTCTGCATTGGGGAGAGATGGTTCTGCGGTGGGGTGGAGGGGGAGGTAAATTTGTGGTTTGTCCCATCCTTGGAGTGCCTTCAAGACCCTAGCGGGGCCTCACATAAATGCGCACACAGAACAACATGGGACATCATCCACCCTTCGAACAGAAGGGAAACTGAGGCACAGATGGGGCCAGGACTTGTAGTGAGCCGGCAGCGGAGCAGGGAACAGAACCTGGGAGTCCTGACCCCTGGTCTAGCATCAGACTTAACCCAGTGGACCCTACCACCCTCCTGCAGCTGGGGCTAGAACCCGGGGGTCCTCTTCCCGGCCCCTCCAGCTGCAACCAGCAGACCCCACAACCTCTCCCATCCTGCCTCTCAGCTCTAACCCCCTCCTGATACCTGCAGAGGACACTGCCCTCACTCCCCCTGCCCCAGTACCCCCACCCTGCTCACGAAGGGGTACTGCTGCTCACCAGCCACCACCCCCACCATGCCCCACCTCCCCTGAATGCTGATGGGACAGGGAACATTCCTGGAAGGGTGGCAGGATGTTCCCCCCACCAAGCTGCAGAGTCAGTCACCCTGCTGCATCTCCCCTGCAACAGGGCAGGACAGGACACCGCCCCCCAGGCCCTGGGCTGTGCCCACAGCAGGGATGAGGGCAAGAGATGCTGGGAGGTGCCCCCTGAGGAACAGCAAGTGCCTCTGTGATGCTGCAATTAAAGCCCCTCTCCCCACTGCCCCCCCCCCACGCTCTAATTGATGGAAATCCAGGACTCGCCCATCTGCATGACCTACATTCGCTCCAGTAACTGGCAGAGACACAAGCTAATTGCATGGGGGAGGAGGGGGACATACCAATTATAGCACAGGAGCAAGGGGGCTGCAATGCAGAGACCCGACTTCCCCAGCTACAAAGGGGACACCCAGGTGTTGCCCAGTATCACTCCCCTATCCTGCTCTCCCTGGAGCCTCCAGTAGGCCTGGGAGGGATGGAAAAGGCCATCCCCGCAGCTCCAGGCATGAAGTGCTGCAAAGGCCCCTACCGACCCTTCCCACACCCTAGGGCTGGTGGCAGAAACAAGATCAAAGGTCAGACCTGGCTCCAAGAAGCTGCCCAGCCCAGCCCTAGCACCACACCAGGATGAAGAGTCCTCCCAGCACACACCCAGTGGCTGGTGAAGCCCAGCAGGGGGGCACACGGCAGAGGTCAGGAGATTCGCTCAGACACAGCTAGAGTCTGGACTCTTGGGTCCTACTCCTGGCTCTGCCACTGACCTGGCTGTGTGAGCAGAAACACGTCCAGTCTCCTTGCTCTACGCCTGAGATTTCCCAGCTGTAGAACGGGGGCAATGACCTTCCCCTCGCTCTATAGAGTGTGCTGGGATCTGGGACCACTGGAGATAGCAACCGGGTCAGATGGACCAAGGGTGAAAAGCCAACCTGCACCCCCCGCCCCCAGCTCCCTTCTCAGTCTGCCAGACCTCACCACAAGCAGGCCTCCCTGCCTGTGCCCAGTGACCAAGGTGCCTGCAACGATGCCCATCCATCGCAGACAGTCCCATGCAGCCTGATGGGCCTTGCCCACTGCAGCTTGTCAGAAAGTCAATACCGCTTGAACTGCACAGGCACCGGTACCAGTCAACTGCACACAGGAACACAGCTGCACAGCTGGAGCAGGGACTCACTCACTCCCAACCAGCTGCCCCTCCTGCTCAGGGCGAGGGGAGGGAGGTGGGGAACCAGCTCCACACCAGACAGAATAGACAAATACCGCAGCACCCACTCCACATTGAGCCCTGCCGTCAGCACAAGTCCATGGATGCCAGGAAAGGGCCAGCAGGTTAATCAGCAAGGCCAGCAGAGAGCGAGTGGCAGGAGCAGGCTGCACCTGGACAGAGAAGCATTTCCCCAAGATCCTAGGCCCCCATGGAGAGGGCTGGTTCTGGCTTGCCAACCCTTCCTGGCCATTGTCTAACCTCCAGTCCAGAAACCCCCCGCACCAGGTGAAATGGTCTGCAAACCAGCAGGCAAAGCCAGCCATCCTTTGTCCCGGGGGTATAACCAGTGTCTGGGAGATGGAGTTGAAACCTAGGCATCCCGCCTGCCCCACTGCAAACTGGACCATGTAGGCTGCTAACCTGGACAACCTGCACCAACAGCCCTTGGAAATGCCAGAGGCCACTCAAAACTCAGCACCTAGCCTGAAATCCATACCAGACTGGAGAGGCCCTATGCCCTAGCAGAGGTACAGCTCCTGCCAGGTTAAACCCAACCTACCTTGCCCTCCCACCAAAGCCCCAGTTCAGCAACCCCTAGCCACATGTGAGAGGCAGCTCTACAGAGGCTCGTACAAACCAGCATGTAACTTCCTGACCTCGAGGCCTTAGGGGCTTCCACTCCCAATACACTCCTATGGCACTTCATGGGTGAAGATGTGGAATTTCATTAGGATTTTCCTCACAAAATACTGCGTTTTCCAGCAAATTAAGAAGCCACACTCCTCCCTGTCCACAAATCTCCCCTCACCCCCCAACCAAATCCATGCTTCCCCCTCTCCAGCTCGCCAGATCTTGTTGCAAATGCATCTCCTGGGTCAATGGATTTGTTGGCCTCTGAAATGCAGCCAGCTCTGGGTTGGAGCACACAGGCTGGCTTCAGTAGCTGCACTGCAACGCAGATCTGCCAAGGATGGGGAGAAGACTCCAGATGCTGGTGAAATTCTGATCAAAGACTTGGAGGCAATTGCCTCATTTAAAAACCAGCGAGCTCATTTTTAATGAAAGCCACGGGAGGGATTCTCATTCGCTGGCGTCCTCTGGGGATGACAGGCCCCTCTTGTTAAAACATAGCAAACCCCAGCTGGAGGGAGCACGCATGCCAGCTCTGACATCACAGGCCCCAGGGAGCCCTCCCTGCTTTTCATTTCTCTTCTCTCACCTTGCTGGGGTCCTGCAGCCCTGGTGCCTGGCTTGGGGGAGGCCAAAAGAGAAAGGCTTCAAGCACCCAAGGGCTGTTACTCAGAGCACCCTACCCGTGTGAGCGGGGGGTAGCGACTGCCCCAGTACAGAAGTGGTCCAGGCTGACCAGCCGTATCCCCTGCCTCTCAGCAGCATCAGTCCACCGCCGTATCCCCTGATCTGGAACCGGGCCCTCCCACTTTAAAAGAGGAGCCACTTGCAACCACCTCGCCTCCCAGGGGGTTGCTATAAAAGTCTTCAAGTTTGCAAAGCTCTGTGGGTGCAGTTGGCAGAGAGGAGCAGGCAGGCCCTGTGCCCCCCACCCTAGTGAGAAATGCAGCCTTCAGTGTGGGGGGGAAGGGGCTCAGAAACCCCCCTTCCAGCTAGCCTTAAAGTGGGGAAAGAGACTGCCTTACCATACACCCCTCCTTCAGGCAACTTTCTAGGGCTCTGAGGCCCCCAGCAAGCTGCTCTGCCCAGTCACATCTCCTTGCAAGATGCAGCCTGGGAAAACCCTGAAGGGAGAGGAGCTAAAAAAAAAGAAATCAAAGAGGAAAAGCAGCTTTTCTACCCTGCCAGGCTTTCCCCAGTGCCAGGGGCTTGTCCTCCTTTTGCACTGGGTGGGGACCAAGCGAGGGGGAGCTCTTACCTGGTCTGGCGTAGGTCCCCGGTCAGCGCTTGGGTGGCAGGAGTCTCCTTTGGTGCTGGGAAAGCCCTCTTGGAAAACAGCAGCTAGGATTCCCCTGTTTCTGGGTTAGCCTATGCACTGTCTACCCTGCAAAAGGAATTCAGCTCCACCAGGTCCTAGCACCCTCCAGCTCTGGCTGCAGGCAGCCGCATCTTGAGATCTTCAGCTTCACCCAGCAGTGCAGGGGTGTGGAGTGTGGGTGCAAATGTAGGGACAGGCCCCCATAGCCAAAAGCCGGGTGCCCCAAAAGACCCAGTAGCAATGGGGCCAAGTTCACCCCAGCTGGAGCTCAGGGATCTCTACAGCGGTGAACTCTGACTACCGCAGGCCTGGGTTAGGGTTGGAAGGGAAAAGCTCTAGGACAGGCAGGGGACAGGGCACCCAAACCCACACACCTTCCCCTGCCCAGGGGCTCCCAGTAGCAACCATACCCCTCCCCGCCACCCCACACACACACCTGCCTTACCACCATGCTGCATGTCTCACACATCCAAACTGACTTGAGCACTTCAAAAAGGTCCTGGCCTGGTGGCCACTGGCATCAAAGCTAGAACTGCAAACACCCCTTGAGATGCAGTTGTTTGGTCCTGCTTTTCATTGGGATGAAACATTAATAAGTGAAATGCAAGAAGCCTGCTGGCTGGGAGCAGCAACTCCTGGTTGCCTAGAGAAGCCCCGTCATACTTAAAAGGCAGAGCCCCTGGACACTGGTTATCAGCTTTTTCCCACCTTGTTGGGACCAGCACCTAGAAGAGGTAAAAGACCAAGAGGATCTGAAGTCCCAGGTCATGATACTACAGGTTGGGGTTGGGAGCTGGAGCCAGGGAGGTTTACACTGGGCCCTACTGGGCTGCTGGTCCCCAACTGCATCACAAACTGTCCCTGTAAGTACAAACGTGAAGAGATGCTGCACACAGGTACCCTTCATAGGAGGTAGGGAGAACCATGGTCTCCAATCATGGGAGACCAAGGGGCTGGAGGCCTCAAGCTGGGTTCAGCAAGGCTGGCAAGGAAAGGTGATCTACACTAACTCCATCTGGCCAAGTCAGCCGTGCCTGATATTTTCACTCTACAGGCTGGGCTGGTGCCAGGTCAGTCTGGGGACTGAATCTGGTCTGTGGGCCCAATTTGGCATGCAGTGTTGGCCCAGCCAGGGCTGGATCCAGGTGCATGGGGCTAGAGCCCAATCAAGCCATGGAGGGCCAGGGCCAATCTAGCTGCATGGAGATCAGAAGTTTGGCTGTGGGGGAGCAGTGATGGTGTTAATTGCTACTGCTCCCCCACCCCCCCAAAAAAAAAAATAAAATTCTGGACCTGGTGGGGAGCCACTGGATAACACAGCTCCACAGCCTGGATCTGGCCCATGGCACAAGAGTTGAGCACCCTGGCCTACAGCCCCAGGAGGCTCAATATGGGCCTGTCCCATGCCAGAAAGAGTGACCCGTCTCCCAGGAGCCCCCCAGTAGAGAACTGTGCAGCCTCAGGATGTATGCACACCCAGGGTGCAAAGTTGCCCCCTCCAAGGTGTTACAGAACCAAGAGCTTAATAGCTGCACGCCACCACAGGCTAATCTGCTCCAGGGACTGGGGAAGTGGAATTCAGGACATCAGGACAGAAATGTCCCGAACTGGAATCTAGCCAAGGCAGTGGAGTTAAGCCCCTATCTCCTGTGTGACCTCTAACAATTATAACTTGAACCAGTTAAAGAGCTACACGGGCATGAGCAGGAGCCCAGCCACTGGCAAAGGCCAGTTGGTTCTGCCAGCAACCAGCTTGGGTCCAGGGCTCAAGTAGCAGCTGCAATAACAAGTCCCAGTGCCCACAGATGGCACCTGCTTTGCTGACCATGCAGCAGGGGGCACAGCCTTGGCATCCAGAACACCCCCAGGCTCTGGTCCTGCCCACAGAGGCTGCCCCAGGTCACACAGGATCCAAAATACAGATGTTACCTGCCAGCTGCTTCATGATCAGCCAGTGGCAGGCAGCTGCATCGATGCCCAGTAGGCAAGGATTGAGGGATCACGGAGGTGGGGGTTGGGAGAGGAATTGGCCAGGCCCCCTCATTAGAAACTGCTGATGAGGCTGTTCCAGGCTGTGTGGGAACCGGCTGAGAGATCAAAGCCACCTAGTGTGATTCAGAACCCAATTAGTGCTTTTAAAAGAGGGCACCCCAGTGCCAAGGCAGTCAGCTGCTGTGTGAAGCCAGGCAGAGGGCCCCACACACGCACGACCGACTGTGGAAGCTCAGTCCCTGCTCCACCACCACCGATTGTCTGGGAGAGGGGCTGGTTCCACAGGCCAAAGCCAAAAAAACAAGGCTGGCTGGGGCCATGCCCAAGCATCTGGCCAGACTAATTGCTCTCAGATACCCGTATTTCACTGGGTGCTGCACTAGATCAGCTGGGGCAAAGCAGAAGATAGAGGGAAGCCCATGACACTGAACAGCCCCCAGCCCTCCACTTTTGACAGGGCCTGCCTGGTAAAAAGCAAACACTTGCCCACCACCCGAGGATAGGGTCAAGGCAAAGGGGTGAGCCCCTTCTAGCCTGAGCCCCACCAGCCAGCACCAAGGCAGAAGCAACAGTGCAAAAAGCCAAACATAAAGCAGCTCTCAAACCCCTTTGGGCCATCTCTGCCACCCTACAGCCAAGGCAGGGAGTGAGGGGCAGATGTTGAGACCTAAAGAAATGTTGTCTCTGGTCTTCCATCTGACAGGAGCTAACAGGTCAGCAAGGTGAATCGCAGCCAGGCTGCTCCAGGCTGGCATAGCTCCTGTTGTCTGCTACAAGTGACCTGCAGCACAGGTTAGCAAGCAACAGGAGAATGACAGGCTGGTCACCTGCTCCTCAGGCGATGGAGAGAGACTGGACAGCCACATTTTACCTAATGTAAGCATGATGCCTCCTCCACACAAGTAACCTGTTTTTCAAAGCACCTGCTTCCCCTTGTTGACTCTGGAGGCAACTGTAACTGCTAAGCTGAGAGCTGTAGGTCTGATCTCCCAAAAGTGCCAAGATCAAGTGTAGCAGCTTACCATCTCCCGAGTGGATCGTGGCCTTTGCTTGAAGGGGTTGGCAGGGGAGGAAATCTCTGCTAGCTCTAACCGTGCTTTGAGGCATGTGATCCACACACCACCACTTCCATGAGCACAACTCAGACTGAGACACCGTGCAGGCACTATCCCATCTTTACAATCTGGAACATGACCATGTGATAAAGACATCTCACTTGGCATCTCTGCTCCTTGAAGCCAAAAGGCAGGCCTGGGGAACATAGTTGACTTCCATGACAAATCCTTATTCCCTCATAGTCCTGCAGGGGCCAGAAGCAGCAGGGGAAGAACAGGACAAAGCTGATTTTGGACTGTGTAGCAACACACCTTGTGTCAAAACCCAGCCACTTTCAGCAGTGGGACAGGATACAGAGTGATTCTCCAGACCCTGGGCAGGAAAAAAGGGAAACCTTTCAACTTGCCAGAACAGCAAGACAGCTCAAGGGGCTGGGCAGAGGCTACTCTTCTGCCACCACTGTGGAGGCTGAGCCTTATTCCAGTAGCCAGCATCTCTGCAAGTCCACAAAGATCTTGGCCCCAATATAGACAGTAGCTGCCCACACTGCAGAAACAACCATCTCTCCCAAGGTCTCCAGCGACAGCACAAGGCAACGCAGATCAAGGCTTCCATCTGTTCTCAGTTCTGCTTGGAGCCTGGCTCCTATTAGCTGGTGGCTCATCTTCACTACCCACCTTTTAACCCATTGATCACCAGCACTTTCCAAGCTGTGTAATTGGCAAGACAGGGGCATAAATTGCAAAGGGCTGAGTATTATCCCAGGGGGTCCCCCAGGTCAACTGTATGGGCAGGGAGTATGGCAAAACAGGGAACCAGGCCTCTTGGGGCTGCTTCCAGCTCTCCTGCTTGGGACAAGTCAAGTCACTTCTGCACTCCCAGGCCAGATGTGATGGGATTCAAGGGCCCAGGGAGGTCTCTTCCAGCCTTATGCGCCTTTCCTCATCTGCAAAACAGCTTTTACAGCAGTCTTCTTCATACATGTCTGACAGAAGCTAATGGACAAAGGCAGAGTGATGCAAACTGTATACCCAGGGCCCTAAATGGACTTGATTGCCAAAGGGTAGGAGTACAAGTTCCCCTTTGCAAATTGCAATCCCAGATCCCCTGACAGGGGCCAGTAACCCTCAGCCAAGCTTGAGGCCTGAACATCCCCCTCCACCTTAAGCAGCAAGGGGCCCCAAGCAGCTCACAGGACAAGCTGCACTGTCTTTGCAATATGTTTAGAATCAGGATACCCCAGGGGGCAGGGGTGGGGCTCCAGCCAGCCTTGGCATGGGTCTCGCCTTCAGACACAACTCCTGGCTTCCCCCCTCCCCTTGCTGCTTCTTTGGAGATCTGCCTAAGCCAAATCTGCCTAGACGATCAGGGAAGCAGCAATTTTAGGTCAAAGCCCGTATTATTTACCATGACCTATGGAAAACTTAGTAGTGTGTTCTTTCAGACAGCTTAGAGATGACACAGTTCATGTGCAGCTGGATGCTGGGCTCTGCATGGTGATAAGACCCACAATTTTTTTCTTCCTTTTAGATTTCCTATTTATTCAAATAGTAAAGAGCAGCTTCCCACTACTGTAAATACAGCTGGAGCCTGCCACCGCAGTGGAGTTTAATGAGGGCATTACTGCATCCTTGTTCTGCAAAGCAGGTGCAAACACCTTGCTGTAGAATTGGGAGCCCAATCACGGACAGCTCTAACTTCAGAGATCAGGGACAAGGATGGGGAAATTTTTTAACAGACAGCACAGAACATGTCTCAAAGACTAGCCACGACATGACACTGCTTCCACGCTTGTGAAGGAGACTGACTGAAAACATGACAGTGCTTTGTGTAAGGAGGAAGTCATTTCCAAATCAAAAAAGGCTTTTTATTCTAAAACAAGAAGGATCGCCCCAGCTCTGCACATGCATCACATCTTCCTCAAAACTTTGCAAACTTTCTGGGAGGGCAGCAGAGCCTGTCTGCGTTACAAGGCCGCCCCCTGCTGCCAAGAGGGAAATGCAAGCCATCAGACTGGAACTGGGTCACTGGCTCCTCAGGGGTCATAAAAGGATGAGTAGCACTACATTCAAAAAACTTAAGTAGAGTCCGATCAAGGATCTGTGATTTGAG